ACGATTCTTATATTTTTAGCAAAGTTCACATACACAAAGTCAAAAATAGCCTCAATTTTATCACCATCGGTATGCACCACAAAATCATCAGGGATGGTTATCCAGGATGGGGTGTTTCTCCTTCAAGCGCCATGCTTTCCGCTCTACCATCACCCACATGGGAATCCAATCTGCAAATCCGGCCACCTCATTCCGCAAACTAGAATCCAGCCCTTGATCAAAAGACTGCATGTTAATACAAAGGTCTAAGACTACTATTAAATTCCAGAGAGCGAGCTCGTAACCACTGCATAAACCACCTAAGTTTGACTACCACCCTCAATAGGTGGTAAAATCTTCCTAAGATCACCGCCAAGCACAACTACCTTACCACCAGAAGGAACCTCTACCAACGATGGGGTCCTGATTGTATCATAGAAGGAACGTTCGAGTGTATCAAAGCACCTTCAATTTTCCATCAAGGCCTTGTCCCAGATGATGAGCGAAGTTGACACGATTAAAGAGGAAACCATGGAACATCTGATAATATAACATGTCAAACTTTTGGTAAGTTCTATAGGTGACTTAAACCTAGAATGAGTCATCCTTCCCAAGCGCAATAGAAGCACAACAACCTAGAGGATGGAACAACAAGAACAACCCTCTTACTACCCCTAAGAAAATGAAAATTTCCATGATACTGAAAAATATATTTTCCATCAGAGACAATAAAGGAGTAGGAAGAATTTGCCATGGTGTAATAGTATAAGTTGCCATATTCAAAATATTAAGTTACAATGGTACTAAAAGTAATTTTCCACCATTAAAATTAAGGGGAAAAGCAATTTTCCATGATCCCAAAAGATATAATTTGCCATGGTACAAAGAATAAAATCGCGATGGTAGAACAAATAAATTTTCAATCAAGAAATTTGAAGGAAAAAGGAATTTTCCATGGTCAAAAAATTGCCATGGTACAAAAAATAAAATTGCCATGGTATAATAGAAAAGTTGCCATCATCTATTAAAGGAAAATGGAAAAGTATTTGTCGTGTTACAATAAATATTTTTGCGACTTTTTATTCTATTTGTAAAAAATCATAAAAAATTCCATGTGGTTTTGCCAAAATTTGCCATGTCACTTTACAAAAAAATAATATCATGTTTACATTTTCTCTTTATTTTGCCATGAACAAGTAAAAAAAAGTTAAATGAAAAATTGCCATATTTCATAGGGTAACATCGTAAAAGGATATGCAATGTGCACATGGATTGTCGTGGTTGAATAAAGAACTACAAAATTTACAAGTTTGTTCTCTACAAAAAGCATATGGCAATCTTTTTGGCTTTTTAATGGTGACATGGAAAAATTATGAATTTCATTATTCTGGAGGAGATGGCAAACTTAGGTATTTTTATGTAATGGCAAATTCACTGCACTATGTTTTCTAGAAAATCATGGCAATTATGTACACATTGTAAAAAGTGGAATGGCAAAAAACGTAGATTTTGTGCAATAAATTTGACATCCTAAGTTCAGAAATAAGACTTTGCCATGGTAGCGACAAGTAAAAAATGCCATGATCAATACAATTTATTTTTTGGCCATGGTCAATACAAAAATATTTGCCATGATAAAAAAATCCCATGGTTAAAACAAAATAAGTGCCATGATCAATGCAAATATAATTTGCCATCCGCAATATCGAGTAAATTTGCCGTGTAATGGACATAGATGTGAAAACAAATTAAGATGGCATGGCAAAAAGCTCTTAATTTTTCCCATAGTAACTATATAGATGTAAAAAACAACTACTTAAGGTGCATGGCAAAAAACATGGTACCGATGTGGATGAAATTTTGCCATGGCAAGATTATAGTTGTAAGAACACAGTAAAAATGCCATGTAATGGTGACACATGACAAATTTGAGACATGACAAAAACAACAGTCCAAACCTATAATAATTAGTTTTCCCCTAAAAATCATTGCAAGTTTGCCAGGGCAAAGAAATTGGGACATGACAAAAAATGTTGAGGCATGGCAAATTTAACACATTTAACACTTGGTTTCTCATGCCATCATTTTTTGGATTTTAGCAGTGTTTTCCCCTAAACATACATGGAAAAATTGCCATAAGTTTCCATTCAGCAGCAGCAGTAGCTAACCAAGTAACAGAGCAGATCACGCAATGAAACACAACGAACTATATTAGCTAGCAAAGTAGCAGAGTATTAAAAGAAAAAAAGGCTTCTGCAACAGACTGATTGAGTGATTGCCCGGGGAACACCGGCATCGGTTGTCGCCCGCAGGCACCACAACGCGGGAGTGCATGGTCCCCGGCTCAAGCTCGTCGCAGCCTAGGCCGAGCCATACCCACGTGTCCCCGGCTCGGTATCGTCGGAGCCTAGGCCGAGCCTCTAAGGAGGCTCCTCTAGGTAGCATTTTCATTTCTTCTTAAAAAAAGTGCCTTTTGATGCAAGAATTGCCTTTCCTTGATATCGAACATCGTGGAAATGGGAATAATTCTGACAATGAGTATTAGGGTACAAACAAGGGATAAAACTAGCTACAACGAAGATGTGACACAAGGGTTTACGAGTTCAGGCCCCTCACAGTGGAGGTAATGACCCTACGTCTCGAGCTCTGAAGTTGTTTGTTTTCCTTGCGAATGGATGATTACAATGGATGTTAACCCCTCTCGAAGTGCTACGGGGCAGCTTATATAGAGTGTGCCACCCCTTTGTCTAGCTACGTCACAGAGGGACTTGATGATTTGAGTTTATTACAAGCGTTACTACTGGTAACTGACATATAAATCGCTAGTAACGCCTGACGTCGTGCGCCCCTTGGATGTTCCAGATTCCATGTTGACTGCTCGTCTCCCTTTTGGGCGGGTGCTGTGGAGGTAGCCGAGTGGATGGAATAACATTCGGTTGAATAGATATCATCCGAGTGGATGAGTCTTGATGAACTTTTGAATGTGCTTGTGACCCAGGGGCCTTAATGCTGAATGATGTGGGGTCATAGGTAAGATCCAAGATGCATGTCTCATGACCCTACCCGTAATGGGTGACCCCAACACCGTGCACCTCTCTGTCGCCGCCATCGCTAGCTCCCCGCACTCATGCTCGAGGTCCCGCCATAGGTTGTAGGCTTCACCGGAGCATAACGCAGGGATCTCCCTCCGCCTCCTCCCAATGCCCCCAA